GAATTCAGGACAACAACCTCTAATTTCTTTCCTACTACATGACAAGTTCCTACTGAGACCTAAAGATTTACTTCCTGCATCAAACCAGGGACATTGGCTAGTAGCTACTTATAACTTATTTAACTTCAGAATGAGTTTTACCTTTTAAATTTTTAAAATTATTTTTATTTTAGGTGTTTTGCCTGCATGTATATAAGTGTACCACAAGTCTGAAATGCCTGCAGAGGCCAGAAGATGGTGCTGAATTCCCTGGAACTGAAGTTACAGATGGCTATTAGTGCCATGTGGGTGCTGGAAACCAAACCTGGGTCCTCTGCAAGAGCAGTCAGTGCTCTTACCCACTAAAGTTCTCTCTCCTTTTTTGGTCTTATACCTCTATTAATAAAGTTTTTTTCATCTTATCAATGGGATGGTGACTCTGTTACAGGGTATACCTCAAAGAACAGGCATAGAAATTACATTCTACCTACTAATAACCATAACTGTACACAGTTATACAATTGTAACCCAATTCAGTCTTCAGAAAGTTAAGTGGTATGTAGAAAACCAGGGACCTTGATTTCTTTCCTACCTTCACTGATCTGATTTTTTTCTAGAGAAAATAAGCCTTGAAATGGCTATTTATAGCTACAACGAGCAATGGTTGCTATCAGAGGGTATAAATTTGTACCTGATTAAAACTAAATCACAGAAAGCTCAACTCAGTCCCAATGCATACCCCACTAAAGCACTGCAAGCTTACTGACGGTTAAATTCATTTTTTGCCTTCCCTGTATCCCAAGAATTACAGACTAACCTTTGTTTCAGAAACACTTAATGAAATTTTAGTCATTATTTTTAGATATCCTGACATTTTTATTTACTGGTATGATGCTGCTACTATGATTACTGAGAATGAATACTTTGTTAAATGATCAATGTGAAGAGCTGAGCATGGTGGCACACATCTGTAATTCCAGCTACTTGGGAGATGAAGGCAGAAAGATGGAAAGTTCAAGGCCTGCCTGGGCTATAAAGCAAGCTCAAGGCCAGACTGGGCAACTTGGCAAGACTGTCAAAATAAAAGTACAAAAAGCTGGAGATGCATCCAGTGGTAGAGCACTTGCCTAGCATGCATAAGGTCCTTGGTTCAAACTCTAGTACTTAAAAAAAAAGAAAAAAAAAAAGAAAAATCTTACTAGAGGTAATTTAATTTTCCTTACAAAGAAGTAGTTGATATAGCCAGCCATGGTACCCTACCTCTTTAATCCCAGCACTCAGGAGGCAGAGGCAGGCTGATCTCTGGAAGATCGAGGCCAGCCTGGTTGACTACAGAATTCTGGGCCAGCTACGTCTACAGGGTGACCTTGTCTCAAAAGGTAAAAAGGAAAAAAAAGTCAATACAACACTATCTCAACTCAAATTTAAATATATTTCTAAATCTCCTTATCTTGGATTTGGACACTTTACAGAAAATTTCCAGGTCTGGATTTAAATAGCAAATTAAAAGCATATCTGGGCTGTTTATTCAAAACATCAGTCTCCTTCACTTGCTGGATACTAATTAACTAAAGGAAAGAAAACTCTATGAATTAGATTAAGAATATATGTCACTGTGTATGTTCATTTAGCCTCTCATCCAGAAATAATCAAAACAAAGTTTGTCTCAGGTTCCACCTCACGTTCATGCACAATACATTTTCCATATTGAAGTGGAGGTGGCCAAGAGCAACTAGAACTTAGTTGGATCTAACTTTTAGATTGCTGAGTCAGAATTTTAGACAATTTAACCAGTAAAGACTCTTTTAAACAGTCTAGGAGCTCTTCAAAAGGCTAAACAGTATTACCATATGACCCAGAAATCTCATGGCTAGCAGTATACCCAAGGGAATCAAAAAACAAGTCCACACAAACTCTTATACACAAATTTTGGGAGCAGCATTATTCACAAAGATCAAAAGGGAAAATAAAGCCAGGGTGGTGGCACATGTCTTTAATCCCAGCAGTTGGCAGGCAGAGGCAGGCAGATCTCTTTGAGTTGGAGGCTAGCCAGGTCTATCAGGACAACCAGGACTACATAGTGAGACGCTGTCTCAAAACACCAAAGGGGAAAATAACTCAAATAGTCATCAGCTGTTAAGTGAATATTTTTAAAAATTGGTATAGCCACATAATGGAGCATTATTTAGCCACAGAAGGACTAAAGCCCTAATACATTGAACAACATGGATAAAACCTAAACCTGGCTGGCCTCAAACTCAGAGATCTGCCTGCCTCTGTTTCCATAGTGTTGGGATTAAAGGCATGTGCCACCATGCTCAGTCTAAATAATAGCCTAATTTATTTAAATGTTCTAAAGGTTGTGTGAAATTGTAACATAAAAACAGAACGAAACCCAAAAATAAAATAATGCATAAAATGTACTTACTCAAAGTGTGCACATCTAACTGGCAATCAGGTAAGTTTTTTTTTTTAAAGGAATATATTATGAAGCATTTTAAAATAAGACTAGATCCTGGTCAGTTTTTTCCTTTAATGTAGAAACATTCTGTCCAAAAGGAAGTTTTTGACTGATAACATTGCATATTTTTCTGTACAACATGGTGTTTGGTTAAAAGTACTGCATTCACAAATGTTACTTTACAGGTTATCTTACTACAAGAGCACGGAATATTATCTTTTTACATTTTCCAAGAATACAATGTACCAGGCAGGGTGTGGTGGGTAGGTAGATCTCCTTGAGTTCAAGGCCAGCCTGGTCTACACTGTGAGTTTCAGGCCAGCTGGGGGTATAGGGAGACTCTGTCTCAAAAGGCCAAAAAAAAAAAAAAAAAAAAGAATACAATGTACCGCTAACTGTAATAACTTGCTGTGCTAGAAATCTCTAGAAACTATTCTAACTGCATGTATCTTTTACTGGTCAAATTTTGACTTGTACTTTCATTTGTAGGAGTGGGAGCTGTGCACACAATCTAGTAACAATTATTCCTCTAGACAACTTTGCAAAACAGTATCACTTGAATTTGAGTTAAATTAGCATACACATCACTGAAAACCAGGGTAGACAAAATTTTTATAACTGCAAGTAATTACTCACTAGGAAGTCAAAGTCTTCTTTGACAACTGTTTGAACAGATCTAGATTTGAGGAGGCAGGGAGGAACTGGGAATATTTAAGAGTAACAGGGAGACTATGTCAAGGTAACTAGTCTTCAATGGGATTAACAAGTAAGTAATATAAATTGTATGCCCAACACAGAATGAGCAAGAAGGCTAGAAAAACTGAAAAGTCACTTGTTTAGCTTGGTAGCTCCCTGAGTAAAGGAAGGGACTGTGTCTTATCTTTGGTATCCTGGTGCCTGGCACAGGAGTCAATAAACACTTGCTATATTAAAAAAAACAACAATGCATCTGGACTAGAAATTCTTACAAAAAAAAAATAATAATAAAAAAAAAGAAAAGAAAAAAATGGTGACTGAAACTAGAGCCAAACACACACCAAGAAATCACTTAGGCCACTTTTCCCATTGTATCTTTCCTAATAAGCTTCATCCTACTAGTGAAATTTACCTAGAATCATATAATAGCACATCGGATTTAAAGGGTTCTAGGTCAAAAATGTGAAATACATGAATCTACTTTTATATCTATAAGGTATATATGGAAAACTTAAAATAAATTAAGATCCAAAATTAATTTTTTTAATCTTTAAATTTAGAGGCATATGCAAAACTGAAGATTAAGAAGATCTATTTTCCTTGTAGAGCCCGCCATGCACAATTACCATGTAATTTTTTTCTAAACAAATTTCTCAGACCCAGCAAGGTGCTCCTTCTAATTTGCCAAAGACCACAAAGTCCTGAGTAGTGATCAGCATAAGCACCAGGGGGCCTCCCTCCCTGGAATAGCTTGATACTAAAGGAAAAGGTAAATAAGAAAGAGTTCCTGGGAAAACTTTTGCTCCTTTTCAGTCTTAAAACGGCTTGGGAGGCTTTTAACATCTGGTGCAAATATACCCATTTATTTATAAAAGGTATACATGGTACATCCGATGGAAAAGAAGGCACCCTTCTTCAAGCAATCGTCTCTGGTGAACTTAAAACAAACTGCTTCGCTGTAGTCAACAATTATTTTCTGGTCATTTGAAAGCAAATTAACAGCGGCATCATGCATTCATTGGGTGTTTGGTCAAAAAGACAAATTCTTTTTTACACACTAACAAAACAACTAGTGATGACACAAATTTTAGAGTAAAAGGATCCTTCTGATGGAAACTGCCTTTAACTATGAATATTAGCCTGCAACGATCAATACATTTAACTTCTGGCCTCTGGAGTTCTTTCCTCCTGATCTTCCCACCAACACAAAACTAATCAATAAAAGCATGAGGGTCCGGAACTTCAAATGCTGCCAAGACTTGTAAATAAGTACCTTTTTAAGTCCAAGAGAGGCTTAAGTTTGTGCAGAAATTAAACTGCTCAAAACTGCTAAAATTTGAGGCCCCAAAGTCAATCCCTTTCAGCAAACGCATCCTCACGGTTCGTTATTGCTAACGTACAGCTCTAGCCCGAACCAGGATTTTGTTTCACTATTTTTTTAACGCCAGATAATAAATAGACGGTCAACTACTAATCTTATCCTCCCCCCTAACCAGAGTCCGTAACTAGAGCATCCTGTAAAAATGCAGAAGGGATCCAGCTGCCCAACCGAGGATTTGTGCAAAATCCACTCCCGGAACCACAATCCGAGGCAGCCAAGAGCCACGCACAAAGAGAACAGAGCCGAAACACACGTTCCATCGACACACAAAGCCCAGAGGCCGGAGTCGGGACCCCCTCCTCGAAGGGTCGTGGGAGGCTGGCCCGGGGCAGCGCCGCCGCCTCCCGGGAAGGCTATGCCCGCCGCCCGAGCCGGGGTCCCGGCCGGCCCGCTCCCCTCCCGCGCCCCGGCCTGCAGGCCCTCCTCCCAGAGCACGCCTGGAGCGGGAAGGCAGGGCGGCTGGGCGGCCGGCGCCGCACTCACCCTCCAGCAGGCGGGTGATGAGGCTGTCCACGTTCAGCTCCCCGTCCGCCATCTTGTCGGCAGTACACTCTCCTCGCGGCAGCGGGAACAAGGGCTTCTCGGCGGCGGAGGCTGCGGCGACGGCTCGGCGTTCGCGCACCTACAAGTCACGCGGCGTTTCGACCCTGGCTCCAACTCCCCCTGGGCGCCGGCGGCCCTCCCCCCTCCCCCTCCCCGCGAGCAGCAGGAGCCCGCGCAAGCCCGGCAGCACCCACGAGAAATAAATAAACCAGCGGGGCCCCCACGAACCGGGCCGCGTCAGACCCCGGCCGCCACCTCCACCTCCTCCTCCTCCACCTCCTCCACCTCCTCCTCGGCACCGCCCAGCTCCGCAAAGCTCACCAGCGCCGCCCGCCCCACCCGCAGCGCCACTCTCCCCCTACAAGCCCAAACCCGCCGCCGAGCCGCGTAGAGTTCTGCGCATGCGCGCCGTGTCTCTCTCCGGCTCCTCGCCCCGCGCTCGACGCAGCCGCAGTGGACTCGGTTCGTCCGCCCTCTCCGCCGCTGCTAGTGCGCAGGTGCTGCATCCTCCCTTTTCTGGGCCCCTACGTTGCAACTGCGGCGCTGCAGGGGGAGCAGAGCAGATGGCGCGGTGGCGCGTAGCCGACGTAGAGAAAACTGACCCTCCTCTCCTGCTCCCTAAGGCCCAGTGGTTCCGCAGTTAGCGGTTTTGCCCTTCCCGCCTCGCTGTTCTTTTATCCATTTACTGGTTTTGCAAGCAGTGCCTCAGGTTTAACGCGGAACTGTGGGCTGCAATTACCCATGTTTGAAACCTAGGTGATGTTCTGCCGAGAAATTTTGAAAATAAGGTTTTATCGTTTCACTAGTGTGGTAAATTCGTCATGTGTCCCCCATGAAAGTGGGCCCCAGAAGGGTCAGCAGTAATAAGATTTTGCACCGTATAGGTTTCCTTCCTTCTCTGTAGGGATTTATCTTGCACCTCCATACACTCTAGATACCACTTTTCTACAGTGCTTTTCTATTCATAGCTCCATTATATTGCTTAATCTTATCTTGTGATTGTTTAAGCATTTATCACCTACACGCAGTTCCTGAAGGATGAAAACATTCGCTGGGCATAGCGGTCAATCCCACACTTGGGATACGTAAGTTCAGGGTCATCCTCAGCTATATAACGAGGGAGGCTACGGAAACCCCAGTCTCAAGAAACCAGACACCTCACATTTATCTTTGTGCCCTCAGCACTTCACCAAGAATCTGATTCATAGAAGACAGGGTGAAAGAGAAACATGGGAACTTGGGAAGGTCTTTGTTCACCTTTCCTTCCAAAATATACTGTTGCTGCCAGAAGGACAGTAGGAAGAAGACCCATGGAAAAGATCTAGGCTAGCCCATAGTATTTGCTTCTGTTAGGTCAGGTCAAAAGCCTCTACCCATTCCATCAATGCTTCCCCAGAGCTCAGACTTGATGAGAGAGCTCAAGACAGTATGGTCTAACCCCCATTCACATACCACCAGTAATAGCTAACATTTACTGAGACCCCTGTATGTACCCTGGCACTGCATTAGATATCACACACAATATTACCTCCCTTAATTCTTACAAGCCCATGTAGTGCGTGGGTACCATTAACCCTACTTTGTGGATAAGATTACTTAAGACACTGAGTGGGTTAAGTATCTCATTCTAAATCAAACAAGCAGCAGAGCTGGAATTCAGAACCCGGGCATCTAGTGACAGAATGTGCATCAAATTGCAAGATACTCTTTGAGTGTATGTGAGATGCTCAAACATGCATGTGCTTTGTTACAAGCTTGGGGAGTACAAACTAAGGTTTTTTTGTTGTTGTTGGTTGGAAAAAAGCATTATCCAACCCAGTATTTTATGATGTCCAGATGAATTCTAGTGCTAGAATTTCCTACATCTTTTTTCCTTCTTAGTTATCTGTTTTTGGATTTGGTCTGTATCTTGATAATGAGGTTAAAATAAGTAACCATTCATAGCCAGGCGTAGTGGCACACGCCTTTAGTCCCCAGCACTTGGGAGACAGAGGCAGGCAGATCTCTGTGAGTTAAAGGCCAGCCTGGTCCACATAGTGGGTTCCAGGCCAGCCCCACTACAGGGAGATCCTGCTCAAAAAGACCAAAAACCGAAAACAAACAAAAAACAGGTAACCATAATGACAGTCCTGTCTGTTGTAGATCTCATAGACTCTGAAGTAATTTGTGGAAAACTACAGGTTACTGCCAGTTCTTTATGGAACTTTTTGGAGGTAAAGAGATGGCTCATTGTCATCCATTTTTGTTCAGATACACTTAATTATACCTAACTTTATTCCAGAAGAAAGGATTTAAGGTACTTACATAAATGCTTGCAAGTGGGTAAATTAAAAATAAATATAGAAGAAAATAGAACAAAAGAAAACCAAGAGTAGAAAAGGTTAGATTAAACAAGCAGTTTTGCTAGAGATAGGCCACAAAACTGACTTTCGGCTTTCTAGAAACCAAGGAAAAGGTCAATTACAAGTGGAGTAGGTATTCCATCTGAGCTCGAACAGGCACTTAATCGAATACGGCAGCTTATGACTCCACTTCTCCAAATCTCTCCCATGAACGTCTAAAAGTACAGAATGCTTGGGAACACTTGAATAGGTATCTCACAATTTTCATGGGATCCATGAATCCCATGAAAAAGAACGTTAAGTTCTGTCCACAGCCAGGGTTCAAATATATGCAGACATGTTCAAATGGTAAGGAATATACAAAAGAAACTGGATTGCAGAGAGAGAAAGTGAGCATAGAAAATCACTATGAATGGGTCCAAAGTCAGTCTCAACCAGAGTTTGGGGGGCTAGAATACCTAGGAGAGAGATTCAGGGTACTGCCTGCTGCCCTTTCCTATTCTCACCAGAGTTACCAGTGTCTTGGAACCCTGGGCCAGGATGGGGCTAGATGGATAGGTCAGTGATTAAGAGCACTGGGTGCTCTTACAGAGGAGCTGGGTTTGGTTCCCAGCACTCACATGGTGGCTAATAATGGTCTGTAATTCCAGCTCCAGGGGATCAGACACCCTCTTCTGGCTTCTGTGGGCATTGTGCACACGGTGCACTTAAATACATACAGGCAAAACACGTTAACACACAAAAAGAACGGGCCATGATGAAAATGAGAAAGCTTTTATTACTAGTGGCCCAACAAACTTTTCTGTGGAATCTCCTTTCAAAAGAATTATGTAAGAATTCAGAATTCTTCAGATCTTTAAGTTAAAGTGTTATACAGACAATGCTCCTTAACATCTCAACAGCTTCTGGGGCAACTCATCGTAATCTAGAACATTCTACTTTAAGAAAAACTGAATTTTCACATCACAAAAGATAAAAACTAGGGGCTGGAGAAATGACTCGGCAGTTAAGAACACTGGTTGTTCTTGCAGAAG